GATGATCCCCATTGAATCCATGGCTTTATGCAGTGCCAGTGGAGTTACCTGTCTGCCACCTGTAACTTGGTATGGTCACCTTGGGGTCAACTCCACATCAGTCACTTGGCCCGTAGGCTGTTGTGTCTTTTCCTCTGGAAGACTTGTGGCCATATGCTCTGTACTAAGCTCTAGCCTATGTTTTGGATCCTTCTGCAGGAAAGTGACTTCCTCTTTAATTATGTGAACTCCTAAATCTTTGGGCGATGGAGCGCCCACTGATGTAACCACAGGCCCAAATCCAAGGATTTGGGGGCCCTCCCCAGGTTGTGACACATTACCCGGGATGAGTGACTGGGAAAGTTTTGTTTCTGTGCCACATAATCCAGATTCCACTCTGATATGCTCGTGGAGATGAAGTGATGGAAGGTCTGGGGACCTTTTGTTTACACTTTGCTCGGTGCTTTGATTCATGGGCATCAGTAGCAAGAGTGGGGGTTTCTCCAGTTCAGGGACTCTCCTCCTTGTACCTCAGTGAGATCATAAACCATCGCCCATGATTTCCTCACTCGCAGAGGCACAGTTTGTTTCCGCAAAGTATAAACCTTCCAAGTCATGAGCCTATTCAGAGCCCATCGTGGGAATTGTGGCCTGTCCTTGGAAATAGAACTTTGCCCATGATCTGATGTCAAATGACCCTTGCTCCTTCTCTCACCCTTTGATTTCTGTTGTTTGCAGAGATTTTGGGATTCAAAAGCAGTTTGATAAAAGTGCGTTGAGGTCTTGAGGGTGAAAGAGCTTCTAGAGCCTGAAGAAGTTCTAATTTCCCAAACTCTGAGTGCTGAGAAGAAGGCACGGATGTGCCCTGGCTCCTGAACCCAGGAGGTTGCTTTTGGGGCAGAATAGAGTTCTGGCTCTGGAGTTGCCAGCTTGTCCCCTCAGACGAGACAGGAAGGTGAGACAAGCTGGAGCTGTTTCCTGACGATCCAGAGGAGAAGCTGTGGTCAGGGAAACATTGTGCCTTCTGACAGTCACAGCAGGGTAGAACAGGCTCCTGAGCCCCAAAAAGATGGGAGGCAGAGGAAGAAATCATACTCTGTGGTTCACATGAATACAGTTCCCAAAGACTCCATCCAAGAAGTAAAGAGAAAAGTTTCCATTTGCTTTGGAGTAGGAAAAGGGAAGCAAAGGAGAAGGTACCAGCTATTTCCAATGCAAACTAGTTTGGCCTGAGAGAGAATGACAGCAAAAAAGGTGGCCTCCACCAGGACAAAGGAGGACTTTTGTCTCCATTCCAATCATGCCCTTGAGCCCGGAACTCTCCCCAGCTGCCCAAATGAGCTACCTCTCCTCTCCTCCCTCTCGCTCTCGCTCTCACTCCCGCTCTCCTCTCACTCTCGCTCCTACTCTCACTCACTCTCTCTCCCTCCCCACTCTATTCTCTTCCTCCCTCCTCCTTCACTCCATTCCTTTCTCCTCCTTAAAAGCTCTGACATTTTCAATCCACACCCAGTAACTGCATTCCCTGACCTTGCACTTTCCAGGTGTCTGATGATTTGTTGAAGGCTCCTTTCCATTGACCACAGTGACTCCATAGGGACTCCATAGGGAGTCCTGAGGAGCTGGGTGCAAAGGAGAATGTCAGCGTAACTGAAGTGCTCTTAAAGTACTGGTAAGGAAACCAGTAAGAACAGAGACTGAACTCAGAGACAGTTATTAGAGTGAGGGAAGTAAAACAGAGTGCCAGGTATCTTAGGCCTAACTTTAAAGAGCTTATCAGTAGGACTGACTAAATAGACTGTGAACAGACACAATGAAGATCAGTTTTACTGACTGTCAGGTTAGCTCAGTTCATTACAGTTGAACACCCTGGCTGCACTGGTGGTTCTGGCTTCCAGGCAGTTTTCAAGTGTTTTTATGCTTACTCATATATTATTGAATTTGTGCCCATGATGGGCCATGGATTAAAAACAAGGAGCAAAAGGGAAACTGATGGTAAAATACAGGTTAATACATTTACAAATGATCTTCCTATATATTTACCTCAAATTCTCTCTACATATCATGGATATCAATCTCCCATTACAAAACATGTGGAAATGCTGAATAAAATACACATATATCCTTTTAAATGCAAATATGAGCTCCTTCTAAAAGAAGAAGAAAAATCTCCAGGCCAAAAATACGGAGAGAAGTGAAAAAAAGTAGAAAGCCAGCTGTTAACTTCAGTTCCCTGGGTCATTTCCAGTGTCACTGGGGGCCCATGGTTAACAACAAGGCTGGGACAAACAACAATGCCTGTGTAAAGTGGGTATTTAGAACTGAGACCCCTGTGGAAAAAAGCCAGGATTCTCAAATTGCTACATAATCAGTAAAAAGGTGGCTAGAAAGACAGTTTGCCCAGCACACAAGAAAGCTTGAGCTCTGGGTAGGGAAACAAAAAAGCCTTCACTGAGAATTTTAACCAAGAGTCTATCCTCATAGTGGTGTGGAATTCTAATTTATATTCATATAGCCAGAAACCTTCAAACTGAAAATAAAAGTGGTCTTGAATGGTTGTTTAGCATGGAAAATACAGTCAATGATTCTGTAACATCTTTCTATGTTGATAGACAGTAACGGCACTAGAGGGGGTGAGGATTTAATAAGATGAATAACTGTTGAGCCACTGTGTTGTACACTTGAAACCAGTATAAGATTGTATATCAATAATACTTTAATTTTAAAAAGGTGGTGTTAGAGTGGTAATTCTAAGTTAAATTTTAGCCAAAATAAGCAGGCGAAGAGAGGCAACAAAGGGCCAGGTAGTTTATTTGAGTGCAACTCCCGGGTGATGTTCCACAGTCTGGGTATTACAGGCCGGGGAAGTCACACCCGGTCAGGGAGGTGGGGGCTTATAAGGGATTAGGAGGGGGAGGAGTGGGCAAGCTATCCTAGGGGGTGTGGAGAGGTATGATTGGCTAAAGGTGACATAATAGACAACTAGAAACCTTTTTTCCTTCCAAGAGGGAGGAGGCTGACATCCGGGTCTTAGTTGGCACATCAGAAGGATGGAATTCAGGAAGAGCTGTCCCCTTCCCATATAAGGCACGGACCTTGGGGTCTGGTCTGTTCTCCCCCTATGGCATCTCTCTGTTCTGTTTGCATGTCCTTGTTTTTCCTTCCTCCAGCCTAACAGTAATGTCCTTAGATAATATATATATTCAATAAGGGATTAACATTGAAATACATTAAAAAAACTCATAAGATTCAACATTAAAAAGACAATCCAATATGGCACCAGAACAGACCCATAGACCAGTGAAACAGAATAGAGAGCCCAGATATAAATCCAAGCACATATAGTCAACTAATATATGATAAAGGAGCCATGGACATACAATGGGGAAATGACAGCTTCTTCAACAGCTGGTGTTGGCAAAACTGGACAGCTACATGTAAGAGAATGAAACTGAATCACTGTCTAACCCCATACACAAAAGTAAACTCAAAATGGATCAAAGACCTGAATGTAAGTCATGAAACCATAAAACTCGTAGAAAAAAATATAGGCAAAAATCTCTTGGACATAAACATGAGCAACTTCTTCATGAACATATCTCCCCGGGCAAGGGAAACAAAAGCAAAAGTGAACAAGTGGGACTATATCAAACTAAAAAGCTTCTGTACAGCAAAGGACACCATCAGTAGAACAAAAAGACATCCTACAGTATGGGAGAATATATTCATAAATGATATATCAGATAAGGGGTTGACATCCAAAATACATAAAGAGCTCATGCACCTCAACAAACAAAAAGCAAATAAGCCAATTAAAAAATGGGCACAGGATCTGAACAGACTCTTCTCCAAAGAAGAAATTTAGATGGCCAACAGGCACATGAAAAGATGCTTCACATCACTAATCATCAGGGATATGCAAATTAAAACCACAATGAGATATTATCTCTCATACCAGGTAGGATGGCCAACATCCAAAAGGCAAACAACAACAAATGTTGGTCAGGATGTGGAGAAAGGGGAACCCTCCTACACTGCTGGTGGGAATGTAAACTAGTTTAATCATTGTGGAAAGCAGTATGGAGGTTCCTCAAAAAACTCAAAATAGAAATACTATTTGACCCAGGAATTCCACTCCTAGGAATTTACCCTAAGAATGCAGGAGCCGAATTTGAAAAAGACATATGCACCCCTATGTTTATCACAGCACTATTTACAATAGCCAAGAAATGGATGCAACCTGAGTGTCCATCAGTAGATGAATGGATAAAGAAGATGTGGTACATATACACAATGGAATATTATTCAGCCGTAAGAAGAAAATAGATCCTACCATTTGCAACAACATGAATGGAGCCAGAGGGTATATGCTCAGTGAAATAAGCCAGGCAGAGAAAGACAAGTATCAAATGACTTCACTCATCTGTGGAGCATAAGAACAAAGAAAAGACGGAAGGAACAAAACAGCAGCAGACTCACAGAACCCAAGAATGCACTAACAGTTACCAAAGGGAAAGGGACTGGGGAGGGTGGATAGGAAGGGAGGGAGAAGGGGAATAAGGGATATTATGATTAGCACACATAAGGTAGCGGGGGCACGGGGAAGGCAGTATAGCACAGAGAAGACAAGTAGTGACTCTATAGCATCTTATTACCCTGATGGACAGTGAATGTAATGGGATATGTGGTGGCGACTTGATAATGGGGGGAATCTAGTAACCACAATGTTGCCCATGTGATTTTATATTGATACCAAAAAAAAAAAAGAATAGAAGGGAGATAGTAAGACCAAAAATTTTAACGAGGTGGTCATAAGCAGAAACATGCCTTCACCCTGACCCAGAAAACTCCAACTTATCCTTCAAGACGCAATTCAAAGATCCTTTCTTCTCTTTCCTGACTCCCCTCCGAGGCAGAAATGAAGACCCCTTTTCTGCACTCCTGTGGTACCTTTTTCATGTCTTTGTGACTACTTGTCACAATCATGTCTCCCCCATGGACACGGAGCTCCTTGGCAGAGCTCAATAAGCTTTGTAAATCCAGTGCCAAGCAGAGTTCCCAACACACTGAGAGCACTCGGTACGTGTTTGCTGAATGACTAGGAGTCTGCAGGATACCTGTTCCTTCTCCTGTGCAACATGGATGTGGGAGAAGATGGGAGCAGCCCGAATATCATCCGACCGTGGCTGTGGGAAGTGGATCACCTGGAGGAGGCTCTCGGTGCGTCAAGCCTGGGGCTGTCCAGAGAACCACTGGGGAAGAAGAGGTGAGGTTGGGGTTGAGCTAGAAGGTAGGAGGGCTGAGAGTGAAGTCAAGGGAGGAGAAAGAAGCCAGAGAGTGGGTAGCTGGGGTCCCGAAGATTGGCTGTCCAGGCTGTAAAGTATTTGTCCCTGTAGGTAATCCCAAACTCACAATCCCCAAGGGTAAAGAAAAATCGGAGTAAAGGGTTGGCAGTGGGCCTTGACTGGCTGGGTTAAACAGGAGCATTAATGGCAAATTGTTCACATTTTCAGCTATGTCTCACCAACCCCACAGTTTGGTAATCTTAAACTTGAACTCACTCCCTTCAACTTCCTCTCTAACCATAGCCATTTACACTGTGGCCGAGGCTGCTCCTCTGCAAACGGCACTTGTGTTTTGTCCCCACCCTTCCCTCTGTCTTGCTCAGCACTGTCCAGTAGACGTATAATGTGAGCCACTATGTGAGTTAACATTTCCCAACACTGCATTAAAGGAGAAACAGGTGAAATAAATTTTAATCATGTTTTATTGAATCCAATATATCCAAAATATTATTCCTACATGTAAACAATATTAAAAATTATTAGTGAGATATTTTAAAATATTTTGTACTATGTTTTTGAAATCCAGTGTGTATTTTACAATTACAGCACATCTCAATTTAGGTGCTGAATTTCAATGTAAAAGTGAAATACAGTTCTAGCAAAACAAGTTTCATTTAATGAAAGAAATTACATGGCTTCAGTTTCTTAGATAAAATTGAAAGTTCAGTTCCTCAGTCACACCAGCCACATTTCAAGGGCTCAATAGCCACAGGTGGCTGGTTACTACCATTTGGACAGCACAGGCTAGGCTTGGTAAGTCTAAATTCCTGTCTGGCTTCCAGGCTTCTACAATCACTCCTCTTCCCGCTCCCTCATAATCCCACACTACTCTGTAAAGTGACTCTCCAGTGAGGTCCGATCTGTGTGCCCCACATATCATGCCTCGTCCACCTTCTGGGCCTTTGCTAAAGTTCATCCTGGCAAGAATGCCCTTCTGTCCTTCACCTATCCACATCATAATCACTAGCCTAGCTCAAATATCACCTCTTTCATGGAGCCTTCGGTTTTGCTATAGTACATATGGACCTTACCTTCTCTGAAGTTCTACTGGACTTCAGAAAGGATCATGCTGTTTGACACTTAATCCCCTGTTTTAAGTGTTAGTTTTGTCTCTCTTCCATTAGATAAGCCAGTCTGGGATGGCACAGCCTGGGTCACACATGTCTCTGGCTCCCTCTGCCTATCCCAGCCCCAGGAACTAGGCGAGCAGAAAGCATGTTTTTTCCTGGCTGGTTGGTCCTACTCATGTGAGAAGGCTGTTAAGGGACCTGGAGGTGCTCACTAAATGCTTATTGATAGATTCCTTTTACATAAGGTTGCTTTGCCAGATTTAGCAAATAAAAATACAGGACATCTAGTTAAATAGAAGTTTCAGGTGAATAATGAAAAATATATATGTCTCAAATATTGCAAGGGGCATACTTACCCTAAAAAAACTATTTCTTGAAATTCAAATTTAACCGGTGTCCTGTATTTTGATTTGTGAAATCTTAGCAACCCCTACTTTCACGACAACCTGGCATGCTGTCTTCTCAGCATCCATTCCTCCTCCTTCCGCAGGCCATGCTGTTTGATTGAGAGGCCTTCCTACCCCTTCCTCCGCTGCCTTCGTGAGGGGAGAGTACGTGCACCAGGCCTGGGCGGAGCAGGACTTTCCCTAAAGAATAGTGATTGGCTCAGGGATGGGCATGTGAACCAAGTCAAGCCAATGAGAGCCCTTCCCATGGATTTGCAGAACTCACAGTGACAGATCCACTCTCCTTCCTCTCAGGCTGCTGACTGGGTAGCATGCTAGGCTGGCACTGCTGGGTGGCCAATTCGCCACCTATGGAGAACACCTGCTGGAGAATGAGAGCAGCATAGAGGAAAGAGGGCTAAGAGCTCACATTCTGGAGCTCGTTGTTTTGAATATCAGGAACTAGCTACCCTACGGTAACTGTTCAGTTGTATGAGCCAGTCATTTGCCTTGTTTGACTGAAACCAGAACGAACTGGATTTCTTTAGTCATATATTTGTAACTGAAGGAATTTTGCCTAGTTATAATTTCACAAATACACACCCATGCATGCGCACATACTCCTTAGAGGAGGGGATGACTCTGACAGGAGGAGAAGGAGAGGCGCAGGAGAAAAGTCAGTCCTCACCCCCACTCATCTGAATACTCTGTAAAATACCCTCCTGTGACAGCCTGAGCATTGAGGCTGGGCCCCGCCCAGCCCTGAGCCATTATGTCCTACCTGCAGCAAGGCCAGTGCCCGCCAGAGGAGCTTGGAGCTGCCAAACGGACGTCCAGCAAGTGGTTTTGAATGATCTTCCCAAGAGCCACGTGGGCCTGTGTACTCACGATTTCGGCATCCTCTTGGTGCTAAGCTCATGCTGGAACGTCTAAATAAGGCAGACATACAGGGATATCAAAACTTAGAGGTAGAGCAGCACGGTGCACGGGGATCAAAAATCAGGAACCAAAACGCAGACAGAATTAATTTGACCAGCCCAGGGTTTAAGTATTAGGACAGTGGTTGTAAACCAGTACTGTCCCAGGCAAACCTGATGGCTTCACACATTTGTGCTTTTGACATCTGGTAAGCAGATATCTTCCCTGAGTCCTTCCTTAGTAGGGTTTTGCTCTTACCAGAACTTTCCTTTTGCTCCCTAGGTACCAAACAGGAGGAGTTGGAGATCCTGGATTCATCCCACTAAACCAATGTCTCCTTGAGAGCAGAGACGGTGTCTTGTTCTACTCCAGAGCCAGTCTTTTTGATAATGGCTGACACATGTTTACTGATCAATATGCGTCCTTGGAAAAATGAATTCATTCCATCCTTACAACAACCCTATGAAATAGGTTTCTCTATGCCCTTTTCTACCTGTGTGGAAACTAGAGGTCAGAAGTAGATAACTTGAATAAGCTAATGTGATAGTGAAATACAGAATCAGGACCTAAAGCCAGGTCTTCTGATTCAATGATGGGGGGATCTCCTGTCATGTCACAGTCATCTCCTGGATGAATGAGAGACCGTATGTGGAGGCACATCAAAAACTAAAACGTTGTACGAATACATGGCACTGTAACTCTAACTACCACTCCTTATCCCTCATGTCTTGCACATATAACATCTATTACTGCACTTTGAGGGCAACAGGAGTCTAGTAAAGGAATTGAGAAGATTAATTACTTGCTCCTAGCCAGACTGAGGAAAGAGGCTGCTGTTACATTTACCTCCTTATTCTGGACTCCAGAAATAATTGACCACACCCACCCCGGCAGTGGGTATATTGAAAATACTTAGTAAGTGACAGACAAGGACACTGGGTGCTGAGTTAGAACAGAAATCTGACCAGTTTGAGTGGAGCTGGCTAGTATGCAGTACTGATGCCATATGCTGCATGTCAGACTGCCCTGTGGCAGAGATCAGTCAAAGCTAGGTGTGTTGCTGTCACTAACCACTTACATCGTTACCTACCATTACCACAAAAACATTTTTACATTTACATAATTTGAAGCTAGACACATTCATTTTAAAGTTCACATGGAAAAAAAGGCAGCAATTTTACTGGGGAAAATCCTTACGTACCATATTAAATGCCATAAAGCCTCTATATTTAAACAGGATAGTGCCAACACATCCATACACAGACCAGTGGAACAGAACACAAAGTCCAGAAATGAACCAGTGCACATGAGGCCTGAGTATCTGACACAGGCAGCATCTCTGATCACTCAGGAAAGATGAACTCTAAAAAGGTATCGGGACATTGGATAGTCTTTTAGAAAAATATAAAATTGGATTCATACCTCACTCCATACACAAGAATAAACTTTAATGAATTGAAGATCTAAGTGTAAGGAAAGAAGGAAAAGAAAGAGAAAGAGGAAGAAAAGAACAAGAAACAAAGAAGAGAGAAAAAATAATTTTTACTAGAACAAAACATGTATTAGGAGAAAACACAGGGTTCTTACAAACTGGGGGTGGTGTAAAGCTTTCTGGGACTCAAGATCCAGGTTCAATGAAAGATAGATTGATAAGTTCTACCCCAGAAAAATTAAAACAATGACTTTCCCATGGTTAAAACCCAAAGAAAATATTTATGGAAGGACTAATATCTCATTTATGAAGAACTCAAATCAAGGGGTCATAAAGACCACAATTTCATTAGAAAATGAGTGTTTCACTTATTTACAGGAATACACAGTTCACAAATAAAAAGCTTTACTAAGGACTCTTAAGCATGTGCAAAGGTGCTCAACTTCATAATAAATGGAATATAAATGAAAAACTACATGGAAATAGAAATTCTCATCTATCAAACTGGCAAAAATTCAAAAGTTTGACAATACTCTTAGAGACTGTAGGGAAGTCAGCATTCTCATAAATTACTGCTACAAAAAGCAAAATGGTACAACCCTTATGGGGGGATCTTTTGCAATATCTTACAAAATTACATCTATATTTATCCTTTGGCCCAGCTCTAGGAATTTACCCAAAAGACATATTCTAACATTATAAAACTATATTCGTATTCATTGCATCATTATTGGTGATAACAAAACATTGGAAACAACCAAACGCCCTACATAAGAGACTGCCCAAGTGACTCTTGCACGTGAATGAGCACACGCACGTGAAAAATAACGAGGAGGAGCTCTATAAGCCAAAGTGGGGTTCTCTGAGGATATTCTGTTAAAGTGCAAAAGAGTATATATCACTGCCTCTTATATAAAAAATAAGTGCAAAGTACATACGCACACACACTTCTTTGCACAAAGAAACACAGGAGGGTAAGTCAGTAACTAGTGAAATTAGTTATCTGGAGGGATGAGTGGAAATGGAAGGAACAGGGAAAGGAATGGGACATCTTTTCATACAGTTCTGACTTTTAAACCACACTATGTTTCACATATTCAAAAGATAAAATTAGATCAGAAACTGAAAAATTCTAAAATTGAAAACAAATAAAAATAAATGGACCTAACGATAACCTCTTGATGGACCTCTTGATAACATAACCATCAGAGAGAAAAAAATTTAATCCAAATGACTTTTGAACACTTTGACTATGTATCTTCACCGGGATGTGATCAAAGGTCAAAAAGACCTGCAAGGAAGTCTTGACTCTTTTTGCTAAATTTGTTGATGATCATGGTATTAGAATAGCGATTCCAAAACCAGCATTTGCTGTAGGACTGAGCAAAGGGGTAAGTATACTGATGATGTCGGAAACCAATGTTTCCCTAGGGGCGAACAGGAAGGAGGGAGAGAACATATAAACATACATATTTGTGTAATATATGTACGTGTGTGAAAAATACATACATATTTCCTGGTTCCTTGTACTGAAAGGGCTTAGGGGTAAAGGCACACCAGGGGCAGTGTGCACACCTAGCACCTAGGCTTCTCAATACAGCAGCCCCCACCTCACCCACAGGGAATGTGTTCTGAGATTTCCAGCGGATGCTTGAAATTGTGGATAGTACTGAACCCTGTATAGACTATGTTTTTTTTCCTATACAGACTAACCGATGATAAAGTGTAATTTATAAGCTAGGCACAGTTAGAGATGAACAATAACTAATAATAAAACAGAACAATTATAACAATATGCTGTAATAAAAGGTGAATGTGGTCTCTCTCAAATTATCTTATTGTTCTGTACTCACTCTTCTTTTTTTTGTGATGATACAAGATGATAAAATGCCTGCGTGATGCAATGACTAGTACAGTGAGACCCGCGTGAATGATGTAGGCATTGTGATACAGCGTTAGGCCACTACTGACCTTAGGACACTATGTCAGAAGGAGGACCTTCTGCTTCTGGGAGGCAATTGAGAGTGAATAACTCAAGCCTTGGAAAGTGAAACCACGGACAAGGGGGACTACTGTACCAATCCCCACTAACACAACCAGAGCTCCCTGGAAAATGACTGAGTGTAGGGCTGGAGCCAGGGAAAGTACAAAGTGAACCTGGGGCAACATTTTTGCTCTCCTGCATAGGTGATGACTGTTGTACATACACATACACATAAACCATAATGAAGAAGAGATTTATAAACTGAAATGGAGTGATTTTTCAGGATATCTTGTTAAGCAAAAATTCAAGGTACAAGAGTGTAGTATGCTCCTTTTTTGTAAGAAAAAAGGGTATTTTTTTTTTTTTGCAAAAAGAAACACAGCAAAGAGTGTTCAAATACTAATGTGGATATGTCCCAGGGATACAAGGTGCCAGCTTGATGAGCTTTCCTTTTGAGGATTAAAATGAATAATGACTTCTAAAATATCAATATCAGTATGACAGACATGAAAACAGCGGAGGAATTCATCTTGATCAAAGGAGACCAGGAAGACCTGATAACTAAATGCAGTGCATTATTCTTGATTAGACCACAGATCTGGAAAATAAAAACAATTCAAGGATAATTGGGGAAATTTGGACATGGTCTATATATTAGATAACAATATTGCAATCATTGCTATTTTCCTGAGTGTGATAATTATGTTGTAGTTATGAAGGCAAATGTCCTTGCTTTTAGAGGGACACAGTAATTTGTGTCAAGTGTCATGGTATCTCTAATTACCTCTCAAATGATTCAGGGGAAAAGAGAGATGAAGCAGATGTGGCAAAATGTGAATAACTGGTGAATCCAGGGAAAAGTACATGGGTATTTATTGTATTCTTCTTACAATTTTTTTGTAGGTTTGAAATTTTAAGTAGAAGTGTGGGAGGAGTTTACATTAAAAAATTTCTAAGACTAAAGATATACAAGCCCTAATGAAAGCCCTCTTATTTTAAGTAATTTCAATACATTTAGAAAGATAAAAACTGGAATCAATCAAAAGACAAAACCACACACACACACACACACACACACACACACACACACATAATATTGATAGATTTGACTATGTAAAAGTGTAAATAAAAGGTCTGTACATCAAAACCATAGAGATAAAAGGTAATAAGCTGGGGGAAATTACAGACTAGGAAAAAAAAAAAAAGCTACTGTCATTCCTATATACACTCCCTCTCACAAATCAGTAAGAAAAAAAAAACACCCCAAAAAAGAATGGGTGACTATCCCCAAGATAGGAAAAAGCAATACAATAAAGGAAAAATAATTCAATGGCTAATACATATCTTGAAGTAGCTAATCTCCATAGTAGTTAAAGAAACATAAATTAAAACATCAAAATACCTTTGTTTTGGTTTGCCTCTTTTACTTTGCTGATTAGTGAAGATTAAAAACAATTCTACCCAGGATTTTAAGGGTGTGGGGTAACAAGCAATTTCACACTTTATCTGCTTATAAATCTTTTGGGGAGTCAGTATGACCATATGTATCAAAAAGCCTTTAAAATTTCACACATTCTTTGACCAGATGATTCCACTTGTGGAGGTTTATTCCAGGGCTTATATTAATGAAATAGTCAAATGTGTGTAAGAAAATTCAGTGCAGCCCTTTAATAGAAGCCATAGTATTGAAACTGTCTACAATGTTTGTCAGCTGGGGGTAAACAAGCCATGCTCTGCCCAGTGGAATACTACATTGACATGAGAAATAATGATAGAGAACTATTAATACAGAAAGGTGTTCATAATTTTAAATGAAGAGAAGCAAGTTAAGTTAAAAAGGAAGTCCAGAGGGCCATTTTACAAAATTTGTTGAAGAGCAGCTTTTTTGAAAAAGATGGATTATGGATGATTGCTTTTTTCCTTCTTTTGATTTCTGTCTTTTCTGAAGTTTTTACAATAAAAATACATTGCAATTATGGAGACATTAAACATAAATCCATAGGAGATTGTTACGTAATGAGATAATATATATGAAATATTTTGTATAGTATAAAGGCCTGTATGTATATTGGCTACTGTGACTGTAATGAGGCCCTGTAAATTTGGAGAAGTAAATGAGGACAAAGAAGAAGCTGTATGATGTGGGTTTAATTGGAGAGGACTTTTTAGAAAATGTAAGATCGCAAAGGAGATGATGAATGGGGAAAGCATGCCAAGAAGAAGGGGTGTGACCAGTGAACACCAAGACAGAGATACACGTTGGAAGGAGCATGGACCCTCTGCTCAGGGAAGAGAGACTTCCTTTGCATTCTGAGTGTGGGGAAGGCAGCATGTCAGCTATTGTCTGGCCAAATTGGGAAGCTTCCTGGAGGAGGTGGTTTTAATGATGGATAAGACCACATCTCTCCAGGACAACCCTTTGGGGCCCTGGTTCTGCTCCATGGATGGTGGGCACGAGTCATGTTAGAAAACAGCACCAGAAAGAAAAACTTCCTTCTTGGGTCTCAAAACAGAGCTGTCTTAGCACCTCAGTGTCCAGATTCCTCTCCAAACTCCAAACTGCACCCAAACTGATTATTATTTCTATGATTATTACCAGGGCTTGTACTGGATTATAATTTAATTAGTAAACAGAGACTGTATCAGTGTAGTATTTTCTACAGTGAATTCAGCATAGAACTTGCCAAAAATACGCACATATCTTAAAGACTTTAGATAGTGAGGATGACTCTACTATAAATAATTAACCTGTGACAAAAGACAGATGAGTATGTGTCAGGTGGCCAGTGGCCTGCCCTGTATGTTTTGCACATTCCTAAAGAGAACTGAGCACAGTAGCCCATTGCCTTGGAAACTAATGATTTGGTAACACAAGAGTTTGCCTAGCTGGTTTTGTGGAAGTATGACAAAGCTTTCTAACCCTCCAGCCTTGGGTTTTCTTCTTTCCAGGAATCCCTCCTTCTCTGAGCCCCTCATTGCATACAGTACCTTCTCACTCCCTTCGATGAAGTTCCCTTCGTACTTGAAGAAAAGCAGTGGCCATATCATGCTGATGATGGAGGGAAAGAACTCTTCAGAAAGAGCTTCTATAGGGTCTGAAGAGAGAGCGGGGAAAGGAGTGGCATCTCCAGGAGGCCTTGCTGTAACTGGCTCTCAGAGTCCACTCCGCTAGGCTGGACCCTCCCCGACAGGGACTGCCCCACAGTGCTGTGGGCCATGGCCCGGATGTTGGTGGTCTTCCCTTTCACCTGCTCCACCAGCATCTGCACCTCCATCAGGTTGTCTAAGGGAGGGACAGGCCATCAGACTTGCAAGACTGGCTGCTCAGCCATTCTTCCTGCTGCCTTGGGGTCAGTCAGGACATGCAACCCATCCTTTCCTCTGAGCAGGTGCCCTACCACCCAGAAAAATGACAGTTGCTCTGAGTCACTCTATTGCCTCCATCCTCTCACCCCACTGCTCCCATCTTCCCTCTCACCATCCAGGGTGAAATTGAAGACCATAGTGTCCATTTCCGTCAAGGATGGCAGGATGGAAGTCAGGAAGGCCTCCCGGGAGAAGGTGAACTGGGGGTCTTGGGGAAGAAGATGAGAGTCCCCGCCAGGAAAAACTCCATGCGTAGACTTGGACACTGAGGGCCTTAGGGGATATGTAATACAGCACGTTGTCTACAAACAAAACACCTGCGGTCTTAGGAGGCGAAGCGCTTTGCGCAAGATGGTGCAGCCGGGTGATGGAAGAGCACTGGCTAGAGCAGCTTTGGGGGTGAACCCAGAGCTTTCCGCACTCCCCGTGCTGCCTGAGAGCCTCAGGAGCTCTAACCCATCCTCCTTCTCCAGATGCCCCACTGCGGTCCATGCCCTTCCCCTTTCCTCCCACCCTCTGCACACCAGCCATCTTTACAACTTCCCCAAGTCCTGTACTCCACCTGCTTGTGGAGCTCAGCCTTCTGGTTAAACATGTCACTGTGATCACCAATGAGAAAGCCACAGACATCTCGGAAATCTGGAAATTTTAAGGACAGGAAGAGAGGTTTGGCAGGAAAGGTTCTAGGCTTGGGGGATATCAATGGCACTGGAGGAAGGGGCAATGGGGTGTAGGCTGCAGAGTAACACACACAGGGCTGAGAGTGGGGGGACCAGGACTGAGCGGTTTTCAAAGGATGGAGCACTTGACAGAAATGCCTATTTAGATAGGGCAGAATGGACACAGAAGGAGGAACCCCCATGGGGTGGGAGTAGGAAAGCATTAGGGCAGCAGGCCCATTGGTTTGGATCAGGAAGAATCAGGAAAAAAATCAGTACTGGGGTCCCACCAGCACCAAAGGTGTGGCTGCACTCTACTCCACCGTGATGTCCATGGTGCCAGGGTTTGCCAGTCAACCAGGTCCACCCAGCCTTTTTCTGCAGGCTGAAAGTGGGTCAGAGGTCAGGATACAAGAGATTACAGTAAAAACAGGCCAGAGATCAGAGAAAGATGCTGGCGGAAGAGCACAGAAGTAAACCAACAAAAAGCCCACCATGACCCTTAATATGCGGCCCATTCCCCCACATGCTAACATGTCCTGTAGAGTCTCCCTCCCTCAGGACATTCCCCATCCAGGGCACGTGCCCCCTCAGAACACATTTGCACACACCTGGCACTGACTTGCTTTATCAAGGCAGTGATCTTGGGGCTTTGACGACAGATCTCCTGATGAGCCCTCTCAGATGTCCACAGGACTCCCAGAAGGCATCTGGGGGAAAGGCCACTGGCTCCCTGGCTGGGACCAGTGCCCCCTCAGAAAGTTTGGGTAATCCCTGCCACAGGGAAGGCACAATTCCCTTAAAACTAAGTTTATGGGGAAGCTGGTAGAGGTGCAGTGAGTGGACCCAGACTGTTCCTGAAGGGCAGAAGCTGAAGAGCAGACGGAGCAGTAAGGCGTCAAGAGAGTGTTGGGAGTAGGATGGGATCCCACTTGATGAGGCAGTGACAGTCTGAACACTGGGCTAGGGACCTTGGTACAGGAAGCAGGCCCACAGCGGGATGGGCCTGCTCTGCATGGCCTGGGCCATCCCCACACTGAAGGCTCTTGGAAGCTATGTTAGCTTTGGATGTCCCAGGTGGGCTCGGGTTAGGTCTGGAGCTGAAGAACCCAGGGTCCCCTGGAAACCGTCCAGACTGTGACCCTGTGCTGGCAACAGCAGTGTCCCCATGCCAGCTCCTTTCCCAGGGCAGAAACGGTGGGGCCTCAGGGTTTCTGCCACCAGCCCACTCTGGATCTGGACTTGCCGTTCCTCCACGTACACCATCCCACCCCCTGCCTGACTCTGATCTCTCTCATTTCATCCTCCCTACCTCTGACATGCTACAATGCCCTGGTTCACAGCCTTATGGGCTGCCGGCATCAAGGATTCCAGCAGGATCTTGGTGGCACTTCCACCTCTCTTCCAGGAAGAGCCACTGAGGCCCTCCGGCTGAGGAGGTGATGACACCCGGAGGAACTGGGGAAGGAAGGAGGCTCCTGGAATTCACTACTTAGTAACCACCAACAGAGGGCACCCGCTCTGGTCAGTGACCGCTGGGAAGCACTGGTGGTCCCCAGTGTGTTGTGAGGGAGTGCTGGGTTGAGCGCTCAACTGAAAGAAAAAGAATGGAGAGGTCATTCCTCCCTCGGGTCATTTCTATGGTGCATTCAGGACTCTGGGGAGGAAGCCACAGCAAGTGGGTCTCCTGTCAGCTGGGGATAAGGGTTTTTCAGAAAGGTTTTTTTTCCCCCAAGAACTTTCTCCCTACCCCAACCCCTATTTTTAATTGCAGTTTGTCGATCTAAACAGCACATTTCATGTTCTTTGGACAGACCAGTAAAGCAGCTGTTACAATGGTACAGATGTGTAACACAACAAGCCAAACAGATAAAGAGGCTACAGCAAAAAGAATGGTAAAAGCAGTATCTGAGAATCGGAGATTGAAAGTAACCAATTGCAGAGAGGAGGAGAGATGAGTATCTGGGAGATGAAAGATAAGGAACTGGTGTGTAATATGGGAATTCTGCCTTCTGATCTCACAAAAGGAAGGTCAAGGAGAATATCATAGAGTGCCCATGGCCAGCTTAGGCATGGCAGAGATCTGGTTAAGGCTTTTGTAGAGTCAAAGGAAGGGCAGATGACACCAGCAAGATGCACCCACACACAAGATTTCACACATTCTCAGGAGTATGGAGGCTTAAAAGGCTCACCTCAACTTTGGAGAGGATTAGAATGGCAGAGTGAAACCATCCCATTGTTTTTGAAAGTCCATATTTGAAATTTAAACATATAAAAGAGACATTAAGACAAAATTTAAACATATAAAATTCACCATTCTATTCAATATTTTCTACACACAGATACAAAAGAGCTCTTTAAACAGAAACTGCCCTAGACGATTTAGATGTTTGGTGATCACTGATTTAAGAGACAGGGTCAGGGTGGAAATAAAACATCTGGAAGTGAAAAAGGAAATGAGGAAATAGGATTTGATCTGCAATCTTTTAGTTGACACACAATCCAGGAATCTAGACCAGATGTAACAGAATCTGAAAGCAGAGGCCCTCAGGAAGCTGCAAGCAATCCCAAGGGGGCGGGGTGGGAGGGGGAATCTTACACCAATTGCAGGATTGAGCACAAAGCTTTCTGTTTCTCTTGTAGTTTCTGCATTTGCTCTGTTAGTTGTCAAAATGTTGCACTCCAGTCTTCAATGGGGTCATTTCTGAAGCCACAGAGAGACAGACATGGGGGGATTGTCTGCAAGGACCTAAAGGAAGGGCCTTAGGTGGGAGTCGGGATCAAAGACCACGTTGGAACTGGGGTCAGAGGTCGACAGCTTCTTGGAGAGATGGGCTTTGGAGCTCATAGGGGCACTGTATCTCTGAATCCCAAAGGCAAGAGTTAATAAAACATTCAGCAATTTAACCCCAGAGCAAAGCCAACACTCAAGTTTGAAGTTGCAGCCTGAGACCTGAAATCTCTTGGATCTTTGTTCTTGCACATCTTGTGCCCACTGCCTTGGCCACGCTAGCCACACCCTCTGCAGGCCCATGGAGGAATGCCTTCAAGCAAATGTCAAAACTGCCACCTTATTTTCAGTCTTGGGTTTCATCAGAAGCCCTTCACATTCTTAGAAATATATTCTGGAAATCTCCCCAAACAGGGAACCCCTCACTACCTGAACAAGGGATAACAGTTCCTACTGAGGCAACCACGCTGTAAGGTATGAAGCATCACACCTAAGAGCTGACAAACATTCCTTGAATAAATTAATCAGAAACAAAACAATGTGTTAATGAGACATGAGAGTGATAGGCTTGTTATGTGCTTAGGTGCAAGCATGGTGGATCTTCTGTAGTTGGCTTTGCTAGGAGATAATCTGTGAATTACCCATTGTGGCAGGACCTCAAAAAGTTACCTCTGTACATGGCCTAAGTTCCCCTTGTCATTCCATCCCTGCAAAATTTCCATCCCTTCTTGAAACATTCTTATATGGACCTCAAAAAGTTACCTCTGTACATGGCCTAAGTTCCCCTTGTCATTCCATCCCTGCAAAATTTCCATCCCTTCTTGAAACATTCTTATATTTTTCATCTCCATTACTCCTAGGACAAACAAATTTTACATGTACATACCCATTTTGTAAAGCGTTTCCTATATTTTTATCCTCAAACTACTTTCTGAAACTCCTTAGAGACCTAAGGCAGAGGAGACAGGGTTTATTGTGTGGTTTAAAACCGAGATTTCCAAACTTGGCTGGTCATCAGAATCACCTGGAGAGAGTTTTGTATTTTAAAAACTGCCATTGCTGGGTACCATGCCCACCCCAAGAGTCAGCTTCAGTAGCTCTGGAGTGGAGCCCAAAAATCTGTATTTTTAAAATGCTTCCCAGACAACTCTGAAGATCAGCCAAGTTTGGGAGCCACCAATTTAAGGAACAACTGGAAATCTCCACGCCTACATCGTATGAAATCCTTCATTTCACTGAGTCACAAGGCCTGAAATTAGCATCCACTGCAGCAGATACATTTTTGGTGAAGGAGAGTCATCCATTAAAAGGATCAGGGTTAAGAGTATTTCAGACTCATTTATACCTTTGCATGAATTACACTACAAGCCTGGAATCTGAGAGTTGAAAAAGTACCTCAGAAAGAACCCTGCTGTTCTCTACCCGGGACCACCACTAAACGCACAAGGCTGCTGGAATTCTTCGATGACAGGAAGACCCCCACTTTATTCGGTGGCCCACTCCAATGGCTTATTCAGCAGAGTTCCCCAAACCTGGCTGAACATCAGAATCTTTCAAAACATGGATGGACCAGGGCCTTATCCAAAATCTACATCAGAGCTATTACACACAGAGCCAAGAATCTGCTTTCTTATTTTTGTGACACTCCCAAGGCAGCTGCTCACCCACCTGACTATACTGGTTTAACAGGCTGACCTTGGAGATCAAAATGGCCATTTAGATAAAGAATAAGAGGGAGGTGATTTGGAGCAACAGCTATAGGGTGGGGGATTTGAGTGGCTGGAGAGGACCAAGGAAATGTCTAGAATGACAAAAAATAACAGGCACTAAATAAGTGAAGGCCTATTATGGGCAACGGAGAGCAGGAGACCATTCAACACCCACTACTCCTCTGAGAAGAGCTCGGGGCCCACCTCAGATGAAAGTTCAGATCTTGGAGAGATGCCTTTTCCTGACCCCATTCCATCCTCTGGCCCTTGTTTCCCTTGCCTCTTCAGTCCCTGTTTGAATGCTTTCTTGTATTTTATGTACCCTTTGTGAGCTGCCTTTAATCTTTCCTGAAACAAGAGAATAAGTAGACCACCCAACAATAACAGCCAAGCTCGTAAACTGAGGAATACTCATACCGACTCTGTATACTGAAATTTAGTGAGCAAGACCACACCACCCTGCTCCTTGTGACTACAGATTCAGATGTTTCCTCCCAGAGCCTCCCACGGATCTGGTCAGTCACCACCTTTCATAAAAGAAGGCTCACCTGGCCATGCTCACAGGCTTGAAATCAACCAGGCCTGGCAAGAAGATGGCTGGGTTATCCATGCAGGAGTCCATCTGGCCTGCCACAAAGGGAGCCTGACAGTAGGAAAGAAGGAGGGCACGACGACGACTGGGGTTACTCTAGTGTGGCCCAAGGCTGTGTGCATCAGAATCCTCCAGAATCCTTGTTAGAAATGCAAGTCCTGGGCCCAGTTAAGATCTGTTGGATCTGACTTTGAAGGCGAGAGCCCATAGACCTACACTTTTAACAAGTTCTCCCAAAGAAATCTTCTGGGTGTGAAAATGACTGAACTAAATTGTGAGCTCCTTGAGGTCAGTGTCCTGCTCTCCTTGGGTGCCTCCTTCTACATCTAACACTGCTGGAATCTACTTTCTGCTCAGTGAATTCTTAGAGCAGAGAGCTACAGAGTTGAGAGGAAACTTGGGGTCACCTAGTCCAGTGCTTCTCAAAAAACCCGCCTGGAAATCTTACTAAGATGCACGTTAAGATTATTTTATGTACCCTTTGTGAGCTGCCTTTAATCTTTCCTGAAACAAGAGAATAAGTAGACCACCCAACAATAACAGCCAAGCTCGTAAACTGAGGAATACTCATACCGACTCTGTATACTGAAATTTAGTGAGCAAGACCACACCACCCTGCTCCTTGTGACTACAGATTCAGATGTTTCCTCCCAGAGCCTCCCACGGATCTGGTCAGTCACCACCTTTCATAAAAGAAGGCTCACCTGGCCATGCTCACAGGCTTGAAATCAACCAGGCCTGGCAAGAAGATGGCTGGGTTATCCATGCAGGAGTCCATCTGGCCTGCCACAAAGGGAGCCTGACAGTAGGAAAGAAGGAGGGCACGACGACGACTGGGGTTACTCTAGTGTGGCCCAAGGCTGTGTGCATCAGAATCCTCCAGAATCCTTGTTAGAAATGCAAGTCCTGGGCCCAGTTAAGATCTGTTGGATCTGACTTTGAAGGCGAGAGCCCATAGACCTACACTTTTAACAAGTTCTCCCAAAGAAATCTTCTGGGTGTGAAAATGACTGAACTAAATTGTGAGCTCCTTGAGGTCAGTGTCCTGCTCTCCTTGGGTGCCTCCTTCTACATCTAACACTGCTGGAATCTACTTTCTGCTCAGTGAATTCTTAGAGCAGAGAGCTACAGAGTTGAGAGGAAACTTGGGGTCACCTAGTCCAGTGCTTCTCAAAAAACCCGCCTGGAAATCTTACTAAGATGCACGTTAAGACTCAGGAGGTGTGGAGTGCAACCTGAGATTCTGCATGTCTAACAAATCCCACGTGAAACGGACATTGCTGATGCAAGGACCACACTTTAAGTAGCAAACGACTGGTCCAGGAGTCTGCTTTTTTCTGTAAAGAGGCAGAGAGTAAATATTTTAAGCTTTGTGGGTCCTATGATCTCTGCGAACTATTTAACCTACTGTTGTAGTCTGAAAGTGGCCATGGACATTATGTCAATACAAATGTCTGTGTTCCAATAAAACTTGACTTAAACAAAAACAGGCAGTGGCTGGACTGACCTGCCCGTGTAGTTTGCTGACCCCTGGACTAGGCCATCTATGTGAGTTGTTGAATGGAGTGATACACAGTTATTCTGAAAGAGGATTCTTTCCCCCTCTTGCCACATTCATACAGCTGGATCCTAATTAATGAGAGTAAAAGAAAAATTCCCTGTGCAAACCCTTTGTTTGACAGCACCCGCCTCACTGATCTATCTTCCATGCTACTCCACTGCCATCTGCTTTCCTCCCAGTGAAGCTGACCCACTGGACTGGTCCTCATGCTCACAGAGAGCCCCACCAGAATGCAAATGATGAGCACCCTCTTCTCTGTAGCCACCTAGGACAGAAGGATGGGGGAGGTAGTGCCACCAGGAGGATTCTAGGGTGCAAACCTATTGTTTGGGGAGATTTCCAGAATATATAGGGTCACGGCCAGGGGCAGGAATGGGTGTTAACTGGATGTTGGGGCTTTTGTGTCCTCAGGAAAAAGAACAGACAGAGATCTCTAGCTGAGTGTCAGTGGAAAACACAGACCTTCCTCCATCCCCTGAATGGCACTATCTTCTGTCCCCTTCCTAGAGGCCACCGCAGACCTAAGAGGACAGACTCATGGTCAGTGGCACACTTGAGAAGCAGAAGCCTATGGTTTACTAGGGCAGGTTGCTCTGATAGAAGGGAATAAAGGGAAACCATCACTGAATGAGTCCATGATAGATACTCTGTAGGGTTGAAAAACTCAAGGCTAGTCAGGCAACATAAGGATGTCAAGTGGGCCAAGTGTAAGGCGGTAAGGCATGGTGGAGACGAGGGCAAACCTGACAGAGTCTCTGTCTAACAGTACTAAAATTCAATTTCTAAAAATCACTATTCAGGCCAAACAAAATATTCACACAGCAACTTGGCTTACCTGTCAACTCCTGCAATGTGGTAGGTGTTCTAGACCTTTCATCAGCTGGTTAAAGGAGACCTGTCAAGAGGGAGAGCGCATGAAGTAGTAACGATAATGAAACAACAATTCCCTTGGATTTTTAGCACTGAGAGGGTAGAGGCTGTGTAATGATTCTGTTGGGCCAGTGCCTAAGCCAGTACTGCTTGGAATCTGGCACTTAAAGATGCTACCTGGAGATGAGTGATTGGGGTCCATGGGATGCAGAGACATTGGCAACAAACTGGTAGACTCAGATGGGGTCAGAAGAAATGGGACTCCATGGTGAGATCTAGCTTTTGGAGAAGCAAGGCAGTGCGGGAGGGGCCCACCTAGGAGCGGAGCCATGCTGAGCTGTGTGGTGCTGACCGGTCAACCTGAGGAGGAAGAAAGGAGGGATCAGAGTGCTCCCTCCACTCAGCACTGCCAACCCGGCCCCAGGCTCCTGACAAAGGAAAGATGCCTGGATGGCCAAGGCCCACTCAGGTTGGGGGAGTCTGCTTTCCTTTGTTAGGAACAGAGGAGGAACTGGGGAGACTCCTGAACCCTCCTCTTACCACAAAAGCAAAAAGAACAGAGGCAGTGTGGTATAGCCGAAAGAACATTGGATTTGAGAAAGAAACTGCAGTCTGACTTCCAACTCTGGCTTAGCTGCTTATTCAAACTCTTATTTGTTCCAGAAAGGACTGAAAGCAGCTTTGTCATCAGTCAATCAATCAATCAATCAATAGGTAAGTAAGTAAGCAAATAAATAAATAAAAGCCGCTTTACCCAGCAATTATTAGCTGGGTGTTTGACAAGCTACTACGATTACCCTAAGTCTTTGTTTTCACATCAGAAAACATGGAGACAGGAACACCAAACTTCACAGGATTTTGTGAAGATTATGGGTATGAAAGTGTGCTGTCAATTATAATGTATTATGCAGATAATGGTTATTATAATGGCTTGAATAAGATGACAATAAGGATACAAGAGGGAGAAAGGAGAACTGAGATCTATAAAAGTGAGAAGTGGAGACCTAGAAAAGAGAAAAGTAGAGGAAACACAATTTGAGGCAGGGAACAGATGGACAGAGAGTACCTTCAGTACTCTCCCAGTCTCTTGTACCACAGTGGTCAGATCTGACGTGCTATAGAGTCACTGTAGGGAACTGGCAGGAATGAGAAGCCAAGAAAAAGGACAGTGGATTTGGGGTGAGGGATGAGATGGAGGAGCTCTCAGGGTTTCAAAAATTAGGGAACACGGTCTGAGAGGGTGAAGGTTGAGGTGGGGGTGGGGTTGGCATCTTTATTTGCAGTGTCCAGGGACTGGGTCACGTGGTGTGTGGGCATGGTTTGCCCCACCTCCTAGAAGATCTCAGTATCACATTGCCCTAGCAATCGAACGGTTTGCTCAGCATCTTTGTCCAGGTCCTTGGTCAATGGTTTTGACTTCTCTGTGATTGGCAGGGCTGCCTGCTGCCCAGACAACTAGAGGGAAGGGAGGACAAGGATACAGGCAGGAAGCCAAAGCTTCACCATGCCTGCTAAACTGGAGGTGGGAGTGGCAGCAAGCACAGTGCTGGACTCACACGTGCACACACACATACGCACACACACACATACCCCTGCACCAGGGATTTAGCTTGCCCTTGGTACTCTGGGTCTATCAGGAAGGAAGATGGGAAGGAGGGAGAGAGCCAAAACCCAGAGAACAGGGAAGTCCAGATGAAAAATGATTCTAGAAATCAGTGCAGAAAGTCAACATGGAGGAGTCTTACCTCCCACTTGCTGGGGTCTCAGTCACATGTTGAAACCGTTTTGTGCCCAGCATAGTCCCACGCTGTGGACACACTGTTGTGCCTGACTTTTCAGTCACACAAACCCTTTTGTCACACCGACTCTGCTTCCCACTGGAAGGGCCTTTTCTGAGCCACGTGATGATTAACCCAAGTCCCCTGACCTCTTTGAGCACTACCCCCTATGAGTACCTCTTCTGTACTCTTTCCTTGCCCTCAGCCCTCTGGTCACCTCAGGGAGCCCCTGGGTCCCCCCTTTACATGCACCCAGATCCCCCAGACCCTGATTTGCCCCTCAAAAGGAAGACCTGAGTTTCATTCCTCTTGCCCTTCAGACACAATGCCCTCTTTTCCAGAGGGCCTGGAGCCTGGAAGTGGAGGACAATACCAGGCCCAGTCCTAGTGCAGCAAGAATCCCTGGGCAAGGGTGCTCTGGGACCAGGATGTATCTGGAAGCCGGAGATCTGGGTCCTCAGGGCCAGCAGAGGTCACAGGACCTGGGCCATGACTTGATCTCCTGCTCAGCACGCACAGTTTTCCCTGTCCCACTAGCCCCATTTCACTGTCTCATCTCAGGAGAAAGGTAACAGAAGCTTCTACAGCCCCAGGGGTGCATATACTGAACTGGATATTACAAGGGAATGTGCCACAGAAATAGAAATACTGCAGTGAGAATTAGAAGCCAAAGCACCTGCCCTAAATACACCCATTAGCCAATATTTATTTCCACAGAACAATGCACTTTTCACTTTTCAACGTATAGAACTTCACCGGATACATTAACACTAAGATGATATTGACCCCCCGGGTGTTTCAGATGATGAAGAGGCTCAGAGAAGTTAAGTCGGTTGCCGAAGATCACACAGCTGACAGAACTGGGACTCATCCGAGTTCTCAGTCCAGTTCTGACGCTCAGCCAAAGCATGAAATAACTTAAGGATTTACAAATTTATTGAATGAATGAAGTAACTAACCAATTGGTGCAAATGTATAATCTCTCGTTCACAGAGTGTTATAAGATTTATAAAGGTCATTCCCCAACATTGTCTCATTTGATCCTCACAGCAGCCCTGTGAGGTTTGGACGCTCTGATTTAAGGTGGGAACCCGGAGACTTCGATAACAAGGTAAATCGCAGAGCTATGACAAGAAACACAGGTCGTTGCTCTTTAAACTCCACTTTATAAACCCGGCACTCTAATCTCTGTATCTCCGGCTCTCAATTGCCAGACACATAGGAGACGCTCAATAAATGTTTGTTTAATAAGTGAAAGAATGAATGAGAGCGTGAAGGGGATCAATATCAGATTATGAATGGGGAAAAGACTTAAAAGCTGACGCAGTATACAAGTAGGAGATTGTTAAAACAGTTATTATCTCGATCCCCACCTCCCCCGACCGGAGGTAAATTCCTTCACCCTCCCGACTTGGCTAATTCCATCCGGGGAGGGAGGGGGCCCTCCAGGGGCACGAGACCCTCGCACCAGCGCCTCTCCCGACGCCCCCGCGGGCTCACGGGATCCTGCCGGGATCTGAAAGGATCCCGAGGCCGCCAATGGGAGGGTCGGAGGAGGAGCCGGGAGAGCACGGGGTCGACCGGGCTGGGCGAGGGGAGGGGGCAGATGACGGTAGCGAGAACCCCGGCGGGGCGGGGCAGGTCAGCACGTCCCGGCAGGGCTGCGGCGGAGCGAGCGGAGCCAACTCTGCAGAAGACGGCGGCTGCTCGCCCGGACGGTCATATCCCGCTGCAGGGGCCGGCGGAGGCCGCCGCACTACCGCCCGCACCGAGGACCGCGGCCGGCGGCCGGGCCGCGCGACACCGCCCCCCGCTCACGGACGGACCACTCGGCGGGTCCGAGCTCTGGGGGTCCCGCAGTCTCGCGCCCCGCGCCCGCTGCGCCTCCGCCCTCCGCCCGCAGCTCGGGCCCGCGCTGCCCGCCTCGCCGGGCCCGCGCCGGAATGGGGTAGGGGCAGCACCGCGGAGTCGGGCGATGGGCCGCCCTCTGGGCACCGAGCAGCCTCCCTAGGCCTGAACCGACCGCAGGGACCGGCGGAGGTGGGTGTGGGCAGGGCAGGGCCGCGCGCTGGGGGCGCCCGGGAGATGCGGAGACGGGGAAGGCGTGGGGAAAGGGGGGCTCTGGGGCTGCTTTGCGCTGTGGGGAGCCCAGGATTGCTGCTGCCCATTCGAGCGTTCTGGACAGCCCTTGACCCCCCGCAACTCCGGCCACTCCAGTAGCGCCGCCTGGATGTCAAGCGGACGCCCCAGCGCTTCCCAGCGGACTCAGCGGGGACCATGGCTTCGCTGGTGCCCCTCTCCCCATATTTAAGCCCCACGGTCCTCCTGCTGGTCAGTTGTGACCTAGGATTTGTGCGAGCAGGTGAGTAAAGAGGAAAGGCATGGGGGTTAACCAGAGCTAGTCTGTGGGTGGAACCTGCTAACCTGCTAACACACTGGCACCCACAGACCGGCCTCCGTCTCCTGTGAATGTGACAGTCACTCACCTTAGAGCTAACTCCGCCACTGTGTCCTGGGACGTCCCAGAAGGCAACATCGTCATTGGATACTCCATTTCCCAGCAAGTATGAATCACGCTTCTGCTCCCCCAACTTCTGTCCTTGGCTCTCTGAACATTCCTTTGGTTAACTCCCTCCCCGACATAAGCTCTCCGCCAGCGGTGGGAGGATCTGGGAGCTGGTGTTCCTGTCCCAAGCAGCCCCTTTCACCCCACTCCCTTGGAGTGCTCGGATGTTCAGGAGCCCTGGTTTGAGCCTTGTGCCCTGGGACTGGGTTGAGGTTGTCTTGTCTCCCATCATCTCCCTGCAGCGACAGAATGGCCCTGGGCAGCGTGTGATCCGGGAGGTGAACACCACCACTCGGGCCTGTGCCCTCTGGGGCCTGGCTGAAGACAGCGACTACACGGTGCAGGTCAGGAGCATTGGCCTTCGGGGAGAGAGCCCACCTGGACCCCGGGTGCACTTCCGAACTCTCAAGGGTTCTGACCGGCTACCCTCCAACAGCTCAAGCCCAGGTGAGGGTCTCAGCTAGTCCCCACTCCTGGAATGCTTTGCATTCTCTGGTCTTTTACCTGCCTTTAGCCTCTTGTTTGCTTCCCAAAGCAAGCATCAGGCTAGCTTAGATGAGTTAATTCATTGCACTGCCAGGAAAGGAAAGAAAACGGGGTGGCAGAGGACTGGGTATAGACCGGCTGGTAATGGATCATTTTGGGGAAGGACTTCCGAGCTTCCTTTTACCCAACCTCAGTTCACAGCAGCTGCAGCCTGCCTGAGTACCTGACCTGCAGCCCTTCTGCTCTTTGGTCTCTAACCATCTGTCCACCAATAGCTTCTCAGAGAGAGGCTACCAGGGGCAACCCGGGGATGGGTCTACCCTGACTCGGATCCCCAGCATCTCCATCCTTCACTGTCTGCATAAATGTAGAGTGCTCTAGCTGCTCCTCCTGGAGTCTGTCCTTTCTCCTCAGGTGACATCACAGTGGAGGGTCTGGATGGAGAGCGACCATTGCAGACAGGGGAAGTGGTCATCATTGTGGTGGTGTTGCTCATGTGGGCTGGTGAGTAAGCAGCTGGATGGGGAACTAGGGACTTGAGGGAGCGGGGCTCAGTGGAAGTGGCAAAAGTTGTTGGGAGAAGAGAGGGTGAGAGAAATGGAGTTGGAGATGCTCAGTTGAGGAGGATGAGTAGGAAAAGTTTGAAGAAAGGGAAAGAGGAGGCCCAGAGAGGAAGATTAGGAGGGCGGTGCTTGCTCCTGGGTGCCAGTAATTCAAGGATTTTCTTCTTGAATTTTCTAGAAATTGCGGGTATCTCACTGCCTTTCGAGGCTGCAAGTGGGAGGTTGAGACCTAGGCTCAGATGGTAATGTTGTGTTTCAGCTGTAATTGGGCTCTTCTGCCGTCAGTACGACATCATCAAGGACAACGACTCCAACAACAATCCGAAGGAGAAGGGCAAAGGCCCAGAACAGAGTCCGCGGGCAAGGCTGGCAGGAGCCAGACAGGTGAGGGACCAGTGAGGGAGGGGAGAGTGATATGCCCCTAGGAGCAGCCAAGGAGAGGAGAGGGCCAAAGGGGGCAGGAAAAGAGGGAGAGTGAAATTTGGGGTGGCAGAGACTGCCTGAAATTAGAGACTCAAGCCATTTTCTTTCACAGAAAAAGTCACCATCCATCAACACCATTGACGTATGAGTGAAGAAACAAAACCAGAAGATAGATACACTAACAACCTGGGGATGGAGATGGGGATGGGGATGGGGTCAGGGAGAGCTTAACATGGTTATCTGCCCAAGACTGAAGGAGCCCACAGTCACCCAGAAGGTAATGACACTCCCACAATCTCAGGCATGGTACCCATCCTCTTTCCACTGTGAGCAGGGCCAAAGGTAGGTCTGTCAGGGTGTGTTTCCCTGGACCTGGGGAGTGGACATCAGATGGAGTGTTTCCTTCCATCCCCCAGGTCCAGGGGAGAGTCATCTGTTCAACCCTAGCCCATTAAGTCCCAAATGGGGCCCGTTTCAACCTGCATCAGGACTCTTGGCAACCCCAGCTGCCCTCACATCTTGCCTCTGGGTCTCAAAGAGGGATGTTTCTTTGGGTACGCCCCATCCCCCAGAAATAAAAGGAATGGTCTGCGCCTGGAGGCAGATGCTGCACTGCACTACTCCAATGTCTTCCATGGAGCCTCAGGTGCCCTCCCCCTCTCCTGGCAGCCCCTCCAGCTGCTGGCGATCTCACCCCTTGGACATTTTTCCAATAAAGGTTCTTGGACAAACTGGAGCTGACTGTATGGTATACTGTATAGTATGCTGAAGACATTTCTCTCTCACTGACTGCAAGGCCCCTCACACCACCACCAACTTGACAGGAGCAGACTCTCGTTTTAAAGTGCTTGCTTTAATTTTCCAGCCTGGAATGGGTGGAGAGGAGTCAGAAAAGGTCATAGAAAACTAGAGCCCTAGTTCGTTTTGCTTTGCTGGGTGAGAAGAGGGAAAAAGAAAAGAAGAGGATATGAACTCTTTTTCTTCCTGTACCAGTGGACATTAAGGTCATGTCACATGGGAGGGCCAATAGCCTTTTTATCTTCACTGCTCACATTAGCAGCACACAGCTCCTCACCATGAATTTTCAGCTAATTTTCCACAAAGGTCTAAAGGGTGTCTTGGGACAAACAAAAGAGCACCTACCCTAATGGATCCCTTGGTCCCACATGTTTCTGTCCTGGGCATTCCTGTGCCTGTTCCTCCCTGTCCCTGCTTTCTCTTTTGTCTCTGTCTCTGTTTATTTGGTCAAAGCCAATATAATTGTAAAGCATAAATGAGTTTATATTAGGTTCTGGGAATCCAGAACCAGAGGAGGATTCTGGGGAAAAAAACTGAGGGTTAGAACTCCCCTGTCAAAATAAGTATAATTTGGGGTATGGGGTCTACTTTGTTGTGAAAATAGGAGCTGCCCTCTACCCTTTCCTAAGTTCCAAGGAGGGGTTAGTGCCTGAGAGAAATACCTGCGGACATTTGCAACCCCTATGGGGGAAAGGCTTTAGAACCTAGAATCTGTCTGGACAGTATGTGCTATACTTTCTGGAGGGTTATAGGTCCTCTCAACTTCAGATTTTTCCAGAAGATGCTTATGAGTAACTCTTCTATATCTCCATCTCTCTGGTATAAGAAATTAGAACCAATAATTCTGAAAGGGACCCCAATCGAAACAAAGATCAAGAAGAAATTCTTTTCTTCTTTACCAAACTCCAACCCTCAGTATCTTAACCTTAACCAATCAAGTGGGCCAAGTTTAGTTTGCCTTCTATCCTGGACGGGAAAAGCATCCTGATCTAAGCAGCAGTCTTTAATCCATGTTATCTGATCTTAAGTAGTGTTTGGCCACTGGTACCAAAAACACGCATTTCTCACACTCTGGACACACCATCATTTCTTGGAATGGGAATGTCACAGGGTATTGTAGCATAGCAGGGAGACGGAGCTAGGAGCTGAGAAGGAATATAAAGGGTGTTTAAATGCACCTGCCTGGGCTGAATTCCAGTTCCGTCCTTGACTGTTAGCTTGGGCAAGTGACCTCTCTAATCCTGCGTCTTCTGTTACGTAAAATAGGACTGATAATGCTACCTCCCCCCTTCAAGAGGTGAACTGGAGATTAAATGAGATGAATGTATAGCACTGCACTTTACCTGGCAGACACATACTGAGTAGTCACTGTTAGCTATCATTATTTACCTTGTGATCCCGTTCAAGTTATATGACTTATTTGGGTTAAATTCCGTCAACTGTAAAAAGCCTGTGATAGCAACTGTCCTGCTTCTCTCCAGGTTATGAGGATTAAAAGAACGCACTCAACCACGCGTACGTACATCGAAGAGAGAAAACAGTTACGAAGAACGCGGAGTTTGCGGAAGGCTGGTGGGCGCGGCCTGAGTTTGGTTTGCATGCAGCAATGGGATTGGTCGAGGAGAGAGTTCGTCAAGTCTTCTCGGGGCGCGGGGTCGGGGTGTGGGTGGAGTCCCGCCCTAGATCTCACTGCGCCTGCGCACCTTCTGTTTGCTACGCCGCCAACCTACGTGATGACCTTGCGAAGTAGGTCGCACTGTGGTTGCGTTTACGTCAGTGGCTGTCGCTGCGGCTGCGTGGCGGGTTGTCCAGGTAACCGCGAGAGTTGATGTCCGGTGGCGTCTAGGACAGGAGCTCGTCATGCAGCTGAAGCACCTGAGGACCCTGCTGAACCCTCAGGTGAGGAGTTGCGCGCCTCTTCCCTCCCCCGCCTGCCTTAACGTTCCAAGCAAAGTGAGGAAACTGAAGTTTAATGATGTTGATGCTGAGCTCCTGCTGTGTGCAAAAGACTGAAGGCTGTAGCAATGATTCCTAATCTGCTTTATCCATACAGTGTTCAGTAGGCAAGATGGACCGCTAACCATCGTTGTTTCCATTCAGTCTCATTTAACATAAGTTGTGTACCAGGCCCGGTGCTGGGGCTCTGAGGGACCCAGTCACTGGCCCTGCCTTAAAGAGGCTCATACTAGAGGGAGAGGCGCACGTGTAAATAATGAACAGACGTCTACACCGAATTAAATAAGCTCTTTAGGTGCAAGCCCCAGAGGGGGAGTGCGGAAGACTGCACCATTTTTCCTGATAGTGAAGGTCTCAGATCCAGAAGAGGCTGGCACTGGGGAGGAACCCTTAAAGAAGGTAAAGAAAGGCTGGGTTTGGAAGTTAGGAGACCATTACCAAACTCCAACCCTCAGTATCTTAACCTTAACCAATCAAGTGGGCCAAGTTTAGTTTGCCTTCTATCCTGGACGGGAAAAGCATCCTGATCTAAGCAGCAGTCTTTAATCCATGTTATCTGATCTTAAGTAGTGTTTGGCCACTGGTACCAAAAACACGCATTTCTCACACTCTGGACACACCATCATTTCTTGGAATGGGAATGTCACAGGGTATTGTAGCATAGCAGGGAGACGGAGCTAGGAGCTGAGAAGGAATATAAAGGGTGTTTAAATGCACCTGCCTGGGCTGAATTCCAGTTCCGTCCTTGACTGTTAGCTTGGGCAAGTGACCTCTCTAATCCTGCGTCTTCTGTTACGTAAAATAGGACTGATAATGCTACCTCCCCCCTTCAAGAGGTGAACTGGAGATTAAATGAGATGATGAATGTATAGCACTGCACTTTACCTGGCAGACACATACTGAGTAGTCACTGTTAGCTATCATTATTTACCTTGTGATCCCGTTCAAGTTATATGACTTATTTGGGTTAAATTCCGTCAACTGTAAAAAGCCTGTGATAGCAACTGTCCTGCTTCTCTCCAGGTTATGAGGATTAAAAGAACGCACTCAACCACGCGTACGTACATCGAAGAGAGAAAACAGTTACGAAGAACGCGGAGTTTGCGGAAGGCTGGTGGGCGCGGCCTGAGTTTGGTTTGCATGCAGCAATGGGATTGGTCGAGGAGAGAGTTCGTCAAGTCTTCTCGGGGCGCGGGGTCGGGGTGTGGGTGGAGTCCCGCCCTAGATCTCACTGCGCCTGCGCACCTTCTGTTTGCTACGCCGCCAACCTACGTGATGACCTTGCGAAGTAGGTCGCACTGTGGTTGCGTTTACGTCAGTGGCTGTCGCTGCGGCTGCGTGGCGGGTTGTCCAGGTAACCGCGAGAGTTGATGTCCGGTGGCGTCTAGGACAGGAGCTTGTCATGCAGCTGAAGCACCTGAGGACCCTGCTGAACCCTCAGGTGAGGAGTTGCGCGCCTCTTCCCTCCCCCGCCTGCCTTAACGTTCCAAGCAAAGTGAGGAAACTGAAGTTTAATGATGTTGATGCTGAGCTCCTGCTGTGTGCAAAAGACTGAAGGCTGTAGCAATGATTCCTAATCTGCTTTATCCATACAGTGTTCAGTAGGCAAGATGGACCGCTAACCATCGTTGTTTCCATTCAGTCTCATTTAACATAAGTTGTGTACCAGGCCCGGTGCTGGGGCTCTGAGGGACCCAGTCACTGGCCCTGCCTTAAAGAGGCTCATACTAGAGGGAGAGGCGCACGTGTAAATAATGAACAGACGTCTACACCGAATTAAATAAGCGCTTTAGGTGCAAGCCCCAGAGGGGGAGTGCGGAAGACTGCACCATTTTTCCTGATAGTGAAGGTCTCAGATCCAGAAGAGGCTGGCACTGGGGAGGAACCCTTAAAGAAGGTAAAGAAAGGCTGGGTTTGGAAGTTAGGAGACCAAAATTTGAGTCCTAGCATCATCACCATTACTTTAAATGGCCTGATCCCTCTGACTTTAGCTTTTATACAATCTCTCTGAGCATTCACCCAACTTCATTTGGAAAATGGGAGTAATATTAATAGTAACCTTAGGGGATTTGGGGGGACAATTAGAGGAAGTAATACATAAAGGCCATTTGTAAACTGAAAAGCAGTGTAAAAAGTGGTAGACAAGAGAGAACGGCATTCAAAATTCAAAGGACAAAAGAATACAAAGCTAATAAAAATAATGTCTGCCATAACTGAATGTTAATATGTACCAAGACAACATGAGTAAATGAAGATTGTAGTTTATGGAGTCAGACATACAGGGATTTAAATCTTGGTTCTGCCACTTATAAACTGTGTATATAAACTTAAGCAAAATACTTAACCTTTCTGTGCCTCTGTTTCCCCACCTGTAAAAGATGCATAATAATAGCATCTAC